ACCCTGGAGAGCAGGGCGCGACCCTCGCGTCGCCTCCCCGCCCGCGGCTGCCCACGCAGGAAACTCCTGGCACCCGGCCAGGAGAGGGCGGCGGAGCCCCAACAGCATCGCGCCTGAGTCCTCCCCATAAATGCCCTGTCCAAGGAAACTTGGACAGCAGCCCCAGCCTCCTTTCTAACCAGACTCACCCCCCACGACCCCCATTAATGTGTCCCAGAGCAGGAGGCTGAAAAATCCGCTTCCAAGTTGCCCTGGTCTGGGCCGAGTGGATCTCAGCCACCGACGCACCTCCAGGCTCCCGCCCGCCGGCACCTCTCGGGACGGGGCTCGCCTGCCTCCATCACCCCTCCTGGGCGCCTGGTCCGCAGATGGGGGCCTGCGGGCCCGCTCGTCTACGGTCGGCACGGCTGCCACCCCAGGGCAGATGCGGGTGCAGAGGCCTCTCAGGGCGCTCGGGAGCGACTTGCAAGGCCGACCTTGGGTGGGCTAGGGTGTGACCTCCCTTAACTCGGTCGCTTGTTCTCTGGGAGAAAAACTAGTCTCCTCCCCAGGGTTCCTCAGGCCCCGCAGCTCTTCTGCTCTTTTTCTACTTAAGGGGCTGGCAACTTACCCCGAGAAACATCTTTTGGATGAAACACAAGCCAGACCAAGCGTTTTGAGTCACCTCACTCCCAATCCTGCCCATCTGGTTCTTTGGTGGTGGTGGGGATCTATGTTTTTAACCAATGTAGACGTTCCTCTGGAGTACTACCTCAGTTCTCACTTGCTGCAGGCCACACAAGCTTCAGGGCTGTTTGCATTCGGGACTGAGCTGCCCAGCAGGGGGCTAAGGCCCTATGTTCCCGAAGCCTCAACTTGGTGGCCCAGTTTCTGGATCTGTGCAAGGGGGAACCGGGAAACTGTTGTTTTTGTTTTGTTTTGTTTTGGTACCAGGGATCGAACTGGGGACCTTGGGCTTGCAAGGCAGGCAGTGGAACCACTGAGCTTAATCCCTGGCCCAGAAAGTTGGTGCCCTTAGGTCAAGAAAAGTCAGGGAGGCCGGGTATTTAGCTCAGTGATTTCTTCGGCGCCTGCCTCCAAAGCACAAAGTCCCGAGTTCAAAAAGAAAAGTCAGGGAAGTGACTTTTCCTTTACAGTTGGGGCGCCCCCTGTATTACCCTCAAATATTTAGGTCTCACACCAACAAGTTCAATATAATTATTCATTTCCCCAACTGGGGTTCATTTTAAGCACTCATTTACATAACGCAGTTTGCAAAACGTTGTAGGTTGGGGCACAGAGAGCTCACCAACTCAAAATCCTGGTCTCAAACGTGCCAAGCCCTGGGGCCAGCCCAGCAATCCCCAGGGCGGAAACACAGCCCTGCCGGCCTCTTATTCCGGTAGCAACCCTGGCACACTGAGGCAGGCACGGAGCCAGATTGCCAGAGGCATCACGCTGGCCTTTCCACCCCCCCCCCAATGTCCAGCAATTAACACCATTTGCTGGAATTTGCCTTTCCGGAGCTTCTTCTAAAGGCTTTCGATAATGAGAGAGGAGAGATCCATTAGCATTCCCAGCAGCACGGACTGTAATTAACCAACCACCTTCACGCCAGCGGCATCTGCAGGTCACAGACCAAGGCTCAGGGTCCAGGAAGACCATGCGGCCTTCCAAAGACCTGCTCGCAGGTCCTTCCCAAACTGCCCTCTCTCTGTCGGCCAAAGCAACCGACTTCTTGAGTGTTTGGCTGAAGGGCTTTGAAGCTCAACGCTTCATTTTCATCACCTGAAAAGGTCAGGCTAATACCGTCACCCCAAGACTGCAAGTGAATACAACCCGGGAGGGGCGCTGGGCCCGGGAACTTCCTTAGCAACTTTGCTAGGTGATGGGCCGCCATTTTGGGAGAAGACGCTTGAGCAAATAATTTGAGGGAGGAAAGCAACCCGTAACTATGAGTGTGCGCAGCTGACTTGGACGTGGGGATTTGGCCACTATCAAGGCTATCAAGAGAAATCCAGCTCCAAGTTGGGCAGTATGGGGTTGTGCCAACTTGGAAGAATCTGTCTCTTTTGGCCAAAGTAACTGATGTATGAACACCTTTCTAACTCTGCAGAAATAAGAATTCTTAGAATGCTGGATTCGGGCACTCAGTGCTCCAAGTACCATAGACACTGAACTCACAGTGTGTCCACGTGGGACAGACAGTCCCACAGAATCTGAGCACTTCCGCTTCCTTCCGCACACTGTGGTCTAAGCCCAGGGGCAGAGACCTTCCTTTGGTGGCTTTTGCCCACCTGGAGCCCTCCCAGAGGGCAGTGGTTTGTTTGCTGCTTCTGGGTAAGGACAGGGTGTTCCCAAAGCCAGGGTCCGGGCTATCAGTCCACAAATAGATATTCAGGGCCTACAGTGTGTGTGTCCCTGGAGGACGAGAAATAAATATGACAGCCCCTGCTGTATTCGGAGCCTAAATATCTCCCAAAGGTCCAGGTTGATGCCACTAGGTGGTGGCAGGCCCTTTAAGAGGTGGGGCCCTGTGGGCGGTCCTTAGGGCACAGTGGGCGTGGCCTCAAAGGGCACCTTGGGAGCTGGCCTTACCCGCATTCTCTTTTGCTTCCTGGCTATGGGTGTGAGGTGTGCTGCGCCCCGTGCTCCCTGCCACTGCCATCCTGGATGCCCACCAGGGACCAAAGCCACGGGGTCTACCTGATTTTGCCCTGGAATCTCAAAAACTGTGAGCTGGAAATAAACCTTTCCTTTTTGTAAATTTACCATACCAGCTATGTCACGATAGTGACAGAAAGCTAACAGACAGCCAGCCCCTTTGTGAGAACTGTGGTGGAAACAGCTAATAGAAAAAGAGTGATTGGGAAAAGAGACGTTAGAACGAGACTTTAATAAAACTGTGCTGCATCTTCTGAGGTGTCTTGTAGGATTTGTTTTGGAGTAATGGCTGATATTCTGATGTGCTCTTATGTGAGATGCTACAGTTCTAGACAGTTTGAGCACAGGTAGGTTTCATGATCACCCTGTGTGCACTGAGGAAACGGAGGCAGAAGAGCTTAGTAAACGTAGAGCCCTTGCTTGGTGTGCATTCAGTGCAATGGTGGTGCTCTGGTCTGCCCCAGGCTTACAGTCAGGCAGGACAGATTCCTGCGAGTAAAGTGTAACAGGCAGGCAGAACAGACATAGAACCTAGGCACCAGGGCCTCTGGCCTGGCTGAGGGTCCATGGTCGTGGGGCCCTCCCGAAGTGGGGTGTGCCAGGGGAAGATGCAGGCAGGTGGGCAGAGATGTGGCTTTCCTGAGGGGCAGCACAAGCTGGAGTACAGGAGCTGAGGAGCTGGAGGAGGGGAGATACTGCAGCGGGGCCCCCACCCAAGGCCTCCAGATTAGCAATTTCTTCTTTGGGGAGTCCACTGTGTGTGGGTGGTAAAATAATACACATGTGACACCCCACCCCAAGCAGCTGCATCTCAGTCTCTAGGGAAACAGCACGGGCAACAGCTGCTTTTTGGTAGTGCTGGAGATAAAAGCCAGGGCCTTGCCTGCCTGTGACCCAAGGGCATTACCACTGAGCTGCAGCGCATGAACAAGAGTCTGTCTAATGAGGATGCCTAGGGGGCTGATGTGTAGAGGAATCTCTAGGTTCCTAAATTCTGCTACCTGCGTCCCTCCATCAACCCTGTGTGTGTACATAGAACATCAGGCTTATAGTCAAGGCAAGACAGAATAGGCTTTTCAGTAACGTAGAGGCTGGCGTGTCACCCAGGCTGGACCAATCCTGCCACCCAACATGAGCGAATCAGACCTTTCCTGAGACTGTTGATGTAGGAGAAGCCCTATTTCCAGTGTCCTATTCCAACACATGATGAATTTCGAGGTGGTAATCTGGCATGAAGGTGACTGTTTATGCGTGTTGGGGCTGAGGCTGCATTGGCAGAGCTGCCACTTAATTATTTATCTCATACTGGGGATTGAACCCAGGGCTTTCTCACTGAACTATGTATCCTCTCAGCCCTTAATAAAAACAAAAACAAAAACAAAAAACTTTGAGACAGGTGCGTGCCAAATCACTAAGTTGCCCAGGCTGGATTTGAACCTGGAATCTTCCTGCCTCAGCCTCCCACAGTGCTGGGATTAAAGGTGTGTCCACTGGGCCCAACCTCCATACTGTTCAAGTTGCATTTTATCTTGGGAACTCAGGGGGCTGCTACACATTTTCAGGGCTATGGCACCTTCAGGCCATGTGTGCCCCCTGCAGGTCATCCTTGGGTTCTGAGCTACCCCAGGACCTCTCTAGCTATGGAAACCACTGTCCTAATTGGCATGGCACTAGCTTGGATTTAGATTTCTCCCACTTGGGCCAAGAGATCCCTGCCTCATATGGAGAAAGCTCATGGTTCAGTATTGGTCCCAGGTATTTTGGCCAACCAGTGCAGCCAGTGGCTCCTAAGCCATCGTTTACTTATGGCCACGGACTTGGTAACATCTCTGCAGCAGCCTCCCATTCTCCACCCCTGCCCTGAACAACTTCTGCT